AGAAACATACTGAAGAATCTTATGCAATATGTTGCGGAATCAGGCATGCCTATGGATTAATCCAGTTTGGGGTGCTTTACTGATTCAATTAAATTAGATGCAGAATAGGAAAAGGCAAATTGAATTATTGTGCCTTTATCTGGCTGTACCACTCAGCCATCCTGCTTAAAGAAACATAGAATGATGAGTAGAAAAAGAGAAAAAGAGGTATTTTTCTTGATGGTAGACCCTCATCCATGGAGAAAGAAGGAGTTACATCCCTTGTCACTAAACTTTTGTTTGGGTTGGTTAACCTGGCTTCTACAGGGTTAGAGCTAATCTACAGGGATGCTCCCAGCAGGTGTGAAATTGCTAAAACCTCCTTCCTTCCAGCCCACTCGCTTTGTTATGTTCACTGAGAAGTCACTGAAACTAAAGAGCCTTTTTGCCCTGGTCATTTTCTGGTTGCTCATGTTTGCAGGTAAAGAAGTGGTACCCGGAGTGGTCTCCTTTTTAGCTATCTCCTGCTTCACTTCACTGCCACACTCAAGGCCTTTTTTTTGTTGGTAACAGCTCTCTGCAAGTATATTTGCCTCTCTTTCTGCCTTATTGCTACAGGCCTATCTGTTAAATCTTAAATACTAATTAATCATTAAAAAGTGTATTAACATACTTGCTGGCCCTATATGTGTGTCTTATTCTTCACAGTTTTGTAGCAATTTCTATTAAAAAAAACTCATTACAGAGATTATTGTGACATGCTTTGAAACAGAAACATTCATTATGTATTATCTATGTATTGGAATTTGGGAAATTAATGCACCAGGAAATGAAATGACTCACCCAGGGTCTCTGAAGATGTATGTTCAAGTCATGATTAAAATCCAAGCTGTAGATTTGCATTGTGTTTGCTGCACAATCTTTTTTGTTCTTTCTCTTTCTTTTTCTTTTTTTCTTTTAAACCACATCCTACGGTTGTAAATTCAGCTGGAAAATTCCACTGTACTACTTTTGTTGTCAAACTGTAATTGGCATTTAGCCAACTATTAGTTAAGTATGGCTTGTTTGTGAGCATTCCCTTTGCTTTGGGGTTCAAAGGATAGCCAGAAAGTGGGATAACTGGGAAAGAAGAGACATACTGCAGGGAAGGGTGGGAAGAAAAACAGAGAGGCAGAGACCAAGGAACTACTCAAGTGATGGAGTGACTGTGAAATGTGCTACTGATGCTGTTGTGAGTCTTGTATCCACAGATGATCAGAGGCACAAGGGTTTTCCAGCCTTTCAGTGCAGGGAGGGTAGGGAGAAAAGAGGTAAGGGAGGAATGAGAGCAACTAGAAGTGAGTGGGCTGCACAATAGGTTTTCCCTTACAATATCTACTCTGACAAATTCACTGCCCAGGTGGGCAAAGTGAAGTATATTTATCTTTTAGTGTGTGTCTATCTTTTTATAGGTTGCATCTTCTGTAAAAATATGATATTTCATGTGCCAGTCCCCAAATTATACCAGTGAACTTTCTAAGTGCCTACAGTTTTCAAATTTATGACTTGTGGGTGTGTTGATAAGTCTCTATAGGGGACTTTTACTGGCATCTAGAGGAGACTTAAATTGCAACCTTTAGAGGGACACCCAGTAGTGCTCTGGTTACAGGTTTTTTTTTAGCAGGCATGATGAGGGACACTGTTCTTGGGACTATCTGGCCAAGAATTCCTGATGTTTGTAGTAACTGTGTCTGTTGTAGAGCAAATAAATGCCCTTAGATATTAACATATCATCAATACTTAGTCAGCATGTGGGGTTAGAAATTTATTTCTTAACTTCTGTTTTACTTTACACTCCAGATGGAGAGAAATGGAATGGAGCATGAAATACAGAGCAATAAAATTGCAATTTATGTACATAGACAGATAAGTGAAAAATAATTTTCATTTAAGGGAATATGTCTTTGTTTTGGAGACTTCCTAAATACTTTATCTTAACTTCAGTTAAACAAGACAAATGTGTCAAAAAATTTAATTTTTCATAATAATGGTAAAAAAATTAACATATGTTTATATTTTTCATTCAGATTTTGTGGAACACTACTTATCTTTAAACTACTATATGCATATGTATTATTGCATAAAGAATAATATTTCGAGTTACAGAGGTAATTTTTTTTCCTCTTCTGCAACTGCAGTTTGAGAACTGCTAGCTGAGGAGGTTAAAGTTTTAAATACAGGATGCATATAGTTCCAGTGTAACAGGTTTAAAGGCTGCAATGCCACACAGCAATCTAGGAGCCTGACACGTTTGACTCTTAAATCCTTTCTTTCTCAATACAAAATCCGCAGTATAGTATCTGAAGCTTCCCATTTCCTGCTTTTCTTATCAGTAATACTTCTGTGTTTCCTGAGACAAGCTAAATATAAGTTAATGTTTTGATCTGTTTGAAAAGATAACTTTGTCATGCAAACAGAACCAGGCTCAGTCTCCAGCTCATTTCTCTTCTATTTAGATATGTATAGTGAGCATCAGATGGACTACTGAATATCTAGGTGTACCTTGTGAATCCAGATTTTGGATTGTCTGGGACAATTTCCATTGCTCAATTAAAATATAAGTAAGTTATACTCTTAGAAATCATGAGACAGCTTAAAAGAAACCAGTCTTGTATCAGGAATGTATTAATCCTCAAAGCTTGCAACTCACTGCTGTAAGTTCCAGTATTTGAGGAAATTCTCAGAATATTGAAGTAATAATAAAAATAATGCACAAACGAAGAGACAAGGTCAATAGAAATTTTAATGAAGAGTCAATTTTGTTAAATATAATTTGGAAAGTTAAGCTCAGTCTTTGAAGAAAAGATTTTGCATATAGTATTTTCCTGTTTTTTAAGGATCTTTTTGATCAGTAACATATCTGGTGAATCTGTGAGGGTGGTGAGGCACAAGTTTCCCCAAAAAGTTGTGGATGCCCCATCTGTGTAAGTGGCCAAGGCGGGGTTGGATGGAGGCCCTGAGCAACCTGATCTAGTGAAAAGTGTCCCTGCCCATGGAAGGGGGTTGGAATTAGGTGATCTTTATGATTCCTTCCAGCCCAGACAATTCTATAATTCTGTGAGTCTATGATTCTATTAATTCAAAATATACAACTTCCTCATAAAAGAAAAACAATCATGTTTTGGGGACTACATGATCAACAACAACTACACTTACCTACAACTGTGAATATGATTTCCCACACAGGAAAAAATAGGAAGTCACTTGCTAAAGCAAAAAAATCACAAGGAATGAAAAAAGAAAAAAAAAGTCAAAGTTTATTGCCTTTTCACACTGAAACTCAGATCTTTTTTCCAGGGAGTTTCCCTCCATAAGAAAAAGATTAATAAAATACTTAAATTTCTGTAAAATTTTTGTAGATAATAGGAACACAAGAATCATGTCAACTTAAGAGACTGTGAAAAGTAACCTTTATAATTTTATTTTTTCTGAATTTTAAAAAGAAGAGACATTGTTAATATACTTATATATTACATTTTATTGATTTCTAAAAGTAAGTGCACTTAGGTAGCACATCGTTTTGAGTTAAAAAGCGGTATAGAGCACAATTTCTTTATTTCTTCCTCATTTGATGGATTCTCTTTGTTGCAAGGCAGAGTAGAAGTAACTGCAGCTGCAACAACGGGGAATTACAGATCTATTTGAGAAGTGGCAAAATGAAAATAATGAAAATCAGAGAATCAACCAAATTGGAAAAAAACTCGTTTGTATTATCCTAAAACATGCTGAGTGTTATACAGACAAATATATACAGATTTTTATTTCCAAACAGATTGTTGCATTGTGGAAGGTGTTTTAAGCTGATCTAATGCTGAGTCCTGCTCAAGCTTGTGCAGGCTATTACTCACCTAAGTACTAATTTCTGCTGTCAGCTTCTGTTCAAATTACATTTGTTTATTCATTTGAGAATTTTGATGAATTGATTCAAGCTTAGTTTTGACTTCAGATCAGTTATACTGTCCAATTTTAAGCAGCTCCATAAAACTATAGTCTCCTAAGGTGCAAACATGCTTGCAGTTGTCCCAAGAAAAATCCACAAAAATGCAAGAGTGAGACTTGTTTTGACAAATTTCAACATGAGTCATGAATACTCAGGATTCTTACACCTTTGAACAAGATTTTTCAAGCTGCATAATTTTGATCCCAAAATAATACCTCTTGACAAGTTATCACAAATAAATTTTCAGACCTTAAGACATTACTTTTTATAACTACACACAAACTTATGGTCTGTAATATATAGGAAGTCTCTTATCTCTCTTTAGATTTTGTACTTCCTGAATAGTAGATAAATGTTGAACTGTGGTGTCTGAAAAATTCTTTTCATTTTGGACACATCAAATGAAAGAATTCTGGTGAACCTAAAGATCCCTGCTTCATCATAATATTTATGTATATTGCGGTAGACTTATTAGTAATGAAAACAACATTCTGAGATGGATTTTGATAGGAATTTAGACAATCTCTGATGCAACTGCACTGAGGCCTCAAACCTGGTGTTTCTTAGAACGTAAAAGTAAAAAGCACATGGTGTTTTACATGTTTCAAAAGTATAAACATCCTGTGAGAGAGGCACTTGGTGTGCAGAGATTGAATAAAACCACGTCACAGTGTAGTCATTGAGTGTTCCTTGAGATGGATCACACAGTTCTTTTTATTGTTAACCTGAAGCTTTGTGGAAACAAGGTTACTTAAGCCTAGCTAACATCTTTCCTTTTTTTATCATACCATGACAGATATGATCGCAATTCACAAGTGCGTTACTGTGGGGCTCAAACACATTTTAGCTGTTCAATGATATTCACAATTCAGAAGTAATAATAATTTGTAAGGTTTGGGGTCTTTTTTAGCAAACTTCTTCTTCAGGGTATTGCTTGGAGTGCTGCCAAAATTGTCTCTGCATTTCTCTATAAATTCAATTTTTAATTATGTTAATCTGAAACTAAATTTCTTTGTGTGCTTTAGCCAGTGTAGAAGCATAGTTTGTGGATTCATCTGTAAAGCTTACTGCGAAGGTGAAACTGCAATGTACATATCCAAAAGAAAGGTGTGATAATCCAGATATGTTGAATGAAAATTAATGTAACTCATAAAGAAAATGAAGCTGTCTTACATGCAACCTATGGCATTTATAGAAAAGACAAATACAATGGAAGAACTTATTTTGAAAATGCTTCCAGGGTGACAAGTCCTCATCCTTCATCAAGAGCACTTCAAAGATGATGATCTTTACATTTGCTTCATTGTAGCTAACACAGATGGAATTTTGAAAAAGGGAATAGGAATTATTCAGCCAGGTAATCAAATCTCTCATTGTTTTTTAAATTGAAGATATATTCAAGACAAAAATCCATGCCAATTCAGGGAGTGTCTGACATTGCAATTTTTCTTTTCACTTACATAGAATGCCAAAATGGATTAATGGGGGGAAAAGAACTAGCACAACAGAAAAAAATGTTGTACTTTGACAAAAGATCATTTTAAGAGAACTGGGAATTAAGAAGCAGAGACGGAGAAGACAGATAGAACTCACAAAAGCCGTGGATTACATGGCAGACTACAGGTCATTGCAATGGTGATATTTCCAGTGGGACGAGGCTCTCATATCATTCCAACAAGCTGTAGGAACACTTCAGAGGGTGAAATTGCAACTACCCATGAAATTACATGGATGAACCTTGTAACTCTCCAAGGGGGGGTACCATATTTTGATCATGTTATATAGTGAGGGCATTCCTTGTCTGAAACTAGGATTGTTTTTTTACCTAAAGTTCTCCTGTGCTTGCTTTTTCAGAAGGAAAAAGCCATTTAGGAATGGTGTGGCAACAAAAGGGAGTTAAGTAGGGAAGCTTAAATGAAGAAAAAGAGCCTCTTTCTTTAAAAGGAGACTTTTTAAAAGATGGAAAAGGGAAGAATGAGAGAAAAAGATCCACCTATGCCCACGTACTTTCTGTGTAGCTGTCTACTTTTCAAAGGCTCTGTAATTACCTGACCACTTCTCCAATTTGGTTTCCCTTTCAGTTCTGTGACTAAGAGGAGACAGAACTCTTTTCTAGAAATTTTCTGTGCATGCTTATTCAGCATTGCTCAACTGACAACTGTGACAGAAATTACTGAGTATCTCTGGTGGGAGAGAATCTTCAGAAGATCATCATGTACATTAACAGAAAGCTGAACATGAGCCAGCAGTGTGCCCAGGTGGCCAAGAAGGCAAATGGCATCCTGGGCTGGATCAGGAACAGTGTGGCCAGCAGGAGCAGGGAAGTGATTCTTCTCCTGTACTCAGCACTGGTGAGGCCACACTTTGAGTATTGTGTTCAGCTCTGGGCCCCTCAGTTCAGGAAGGATAATGAGGTGCTGGAGCGGGTCCAGAGAAGAGCAACGAGGCTGGTGAAGGGACTTGAGCACAAGTCCTGTTAGAGGCTGAGGGAGCTGGGGTTGTTTAGTCTAGAGAAGAGGAGGCTCAGGGATGACCTCATCACTCTCTACAACTCCCTGAAAGGAGGTTGTAGCCAGGTGGGGGTTGGTCTCTTCTCCCAGGCAACCAGCAGTAAGACAATGGTCTCAAGCTCTACCAGGGGAGGTTTAGGTTAGATATCAGGAAGAAATTCTTTACAGAGAGGGTAATCAGGCATTGGAATGGGCTGCCCAGGGAGGTGGTGGATTCTCTGTCCCTGAAGGTATTTAAGAAGAGACTGGATGTGGCACTTAGTGCCATAGTGGTGGTAGTGGATCAAGGATTGGACTTGATGATCTCAGAGGTCCTTTCCAAGCCATCTGATTCTATGATTCTATGATTCTATGATTCTGTATGACAGAATAGCCTTCAAAGGAGAAGTAGTTTCTCTTATTTTTTTATTGATTTCTTTTTCTGAATGTGGAAAGATTCTGTTCCTTTTTACCATTCTCCAGTGTGAAAATAGATGCCATTCAACATTTTCTTGTATTTCACAGCCAGGATCTAATGGATTGCTAAACTCTTATTCAGAGTGGGTTCATTTTCTGTATAATCCTAAAAGTTAGATGGACTAGAGATCTGTAAGCTCATTTAGTCCTTTTTGTGGACAAGGCATTTCTGATCTCAGCTGTTTGTTCCTGGCTGTTTCTGCTAGAGTTAATCTGAAATGATGCAAGAAACAAAGTTGTCACCTTCCTGTGATGTTACTCTTCAGTCCAATACCTCTATTAGGCAATTGCCTTACAGATTTCAGCACACTGTAAACCACACAAAAGTAGATCGGGTATCAGAGGTATGATTTTTTAAATGATACTCTGGGGACCAGTATTCTCAGTACATGGGATTCCTGTCTTGGTTTGAGCACACTAAAAATGAAACATTAATCAACAGCAAACCCTGCATACTTCAAGTATGTCCATTTAAATCTACTACAGAGGGAGATAATAATTTTGAATAGAAATTAATCCTTTTCCTTTTAAATAATGAAGATTTCTGAGAACAATCCTATTCATCTCCTGATAGACGTGTAGAAACACGATCTTTATAAACACTGATCTGAAGAGAATGAAGTTTATAAGCAGTGAAGATAAAATGTTGCAGCTTCAATATACACTGAAAATTAAATATGTTATTAAAACCGGAGGAGTCTAGAGAAGATATTTATTTATGAAATAATTATTGTGAAACTGTTGTCAGTTGGGGTTTATCACACTTTACTAGCACCTTTGTCAGTACCAAATATTTTAAAGTCCTGGATGACATCTTGCTCTGATTACATCATAAACTTTAAATTCACTTTCATGCAACCAATACTTTAACTTGCTGCTGAAACCAGTTATATAATTTTTTCTTCTTTGTTTTCTAACCTGTAAAATTAGGACATTTATGTTTGTCTTTAAAGTGGTTTTTTCCTGTGAAAGTGTTGAGCAAGCTAAGTGTTGGTCTTATAATTTCATTGCATATGGATCTTATTCTATAAGATTAATGTACAGAAATAATTGAGGTCCTGGTATATTAAGTGCTTTTTAAGGAATCTTATTTTTTGATGGAATTAAGAAATCTGGTCAACATACTGGAATGATCATTTTATAAGTAATTAAACTTTTTTCCTATTGCAGTGTTAGGATTTATAAGTTATTGATTCCCAATAGACATTACTTTTCTAAAAGCATTAATTTACCTACAGTCCCCCAGACAAATAAACAACTTACTGCAAAATCCATTTCTTCTGTTTATAACAGTTAATCAAGAAAAATTTAATAGATTTTGTGTGTGTGTGTATGTTTGTGTGTGTGAATTGCATGGTGTCTAGTGCCTTGTAGTTCATGCTTTTAGTTTCAAATATTGGTTGGTTAGGCTAAAGCTGTGAAGGGTCTGCCTTTAAAGGGTGCAACTTTGTGGACACATAATATTCAGCACGAATCTTAAGCTTACTTGGTAAATTGGCACAGTGGACTTAAATAGATATTAGGGGTTTGTGTCCATTAAAACTGAAGCCTGGTTTATAATTTAAATTGTGCTACCAAGGCAATGAAAATTGCCAGAATTTATCTACTCTGACCTGTTACTGTTGGACCCAGAGACATTCCTGCACCAACTTGAGTAGGTAAGTATGTCATTGAGGAATCTGCAGCTCGCACTTCAGTGAAAGTTGACACAGAATATAGATATAGAATATATTATTTTCTTTAAAAATTTCCATTTAAAAGAAATAGTAAAATAAATGGAAGTAATGCCATATGACATTATGCTTGTGATGGAAATTCTTAACTAGACTAAATGGGAAATGTTCTTCACATGTCAGTCATATCTGCTAGCATTTGATAAACTTGGATAAAGTACCTTGGATTAACTTCTGCTTTCTTGCAAAACAGTGAATATTTCTGCACTCAGTCTGTTCAAAATTTCTCAAATACTTCATTCCTGGTAATCAACAGAGGTCATGAGACTGATTCTGCTTTCCCTTGTGCTTTGTATAATTTTTAAAGGTATGAATACAAAGTGAGTTAATTTGGTATGATCCTAATTTGCATACTTTTAAGCCTTAAGTGCTGATGCTTAATGAATAAGGATTTCAAGTAGTGTCTAATGGTGACAATAGTGTAACTAGGTCCAGCAACTCAAGTGGTAACAAGACCCTGCTCTTACAAGATCAAGAAGTCAAAAAAGTTTGGAGATCATGGTCTGCTTTTTAATGCAAAAACAGAGAAAGAGAAGAAATAAATCAGTTATTTGAAAAGCATTAAGCATGTTTTTTATTAGTATTTTGACAGCATCTCTATTTATTTCCCTTTAGAGTAAAGGTGTTTTTATTTAAAAAAGCCCATGATGCACTCTTTCATATGTGATTAAAGACTCTACTGGGGAAATAAGAGATCATAACAGATTTATGGTGTCTGAGGTGCTAAAATAATACTGGAGAAACTCTGTTTAGGACTCTTCCTGGCTCAATCTCTGGTTGCAGAACAACAATTCACTCTGCCATAGTCTGGGTGGGGTGAACACAATTCTTTTTCAGTCGGGGACAAAAGTAAGAAATAAAAAGAATAATTTTAAACAATGGCTGAACTGGCATAACTGTCTGAGGGAGGTTATAGCTCTCATTACAGAAGCCTTTTCTTGGTATTCTGTCCTCATAGTATCCTTGGTAGATGGAAGACCCTAAAAGCAGTGATAATTTACATATATATATATATATATATATATATATATATATTCTTTTTTAAATCTAGATTTAGCTTGAGCTTAGTCCTGGAACTTTATCAGAATATATAAGAAAAATGTTAGGGCAGATATTGTTATTTTTGCCTTACATTTCAGCTAAAGATTTCCTATGGCATCTAAGAAATAGGAGAAAGAGAACTCTTACAGACTGCACAATGTTATCCATGCTTTCTTTACAGACAGTTAATGAAACAGACTGACAGAAAAGAAATAATATTCAGGATATTATATTGGAAAACTCACATATTCTGTAGCTAAAGGATATTCTTACAAGTGGATGCAGTGCTGAAATTCTGCACTATAATTGTAAAGAAGTTGAGAGCTCGCACTGCCACAGTTACACGTGAATGTATCGTCAAAGAACAGTCTAGTTATCCCACAGGAAGATACTTGCCAGTTGGGTGAATCTGATACTTCTTTTTTCCCTGTAGTGTGAGCATATATTCAACAGTTTTCAGAACTAAATTCAATTTTATTTTATTTTTTTTACTCCTAATTTTCCCACATTTTATGACTCACAAATCCTACTGCACTAATCAGATAAAACTCCTACTTTCAGAGAAGATTTCTTGTATATTTTTTCTAAGATATAAAGGTTATGTAAGAATAGTCACTATATTCATTCCATCATTCTTAACAAACAGTTTAAGGGTGATCTGTAGTTTCTTATTTACAATGCTTAGAAATGTATGTCTGAAGACTGATTTTGAACTCAGTATAAAGTGTGAGGAGCAGGAATTAAAGTCACTACTAGGAGAAGAAGTGTTAGAATTGGAAATGTCACTAGAATGTGAGATGTCGCACAGGAACTGTTGATCATCAAAAAGATGTTAATTCATGCACTTGCTGCCTGGAAGAGAAAGCATTTGAAGCTGCAGAGGTTGCAACTTTAATTTCAAGTGCAAAGCATAGAGAGTGCAGTGCACTGGGCTGTCTATTGGGCAGGGTGTAAAGAGGTGCTTCTTTAATTTGTCATCCCAGATGGTCACTCTAAACACATTAAACAACGTGTCACTTCAGCAGTTGCCAGCCACATACCCATCAGCAGCAAAACACCAGCAGAAGTTCTTGCAACCTTTCTTTCTTGTGTTTTAAATTATTAACTTTTGCAAAGAAGTGTATGCAGAGAAAGTTTACGTTTCCTGTGTCTAGCACACTGGAATGGAGACTTGAATGGCTTTCATTTAGCACGATATGGGAAGAGGTACTGGAAAATTCTTTTGCTTTCCATACTATGAGTATTGTCTTTTTCTAGTTTGTCAAGTTATTTGTTTACCTATGGCCATTTGAAACATGGATCCATTTGTTTACTTGATTCTTTTCCAGACCTGTCTTCAGGCCTTTGGTTCTTCTCTCTTCAGTTAAAGCCATTAGTACAACAGTTACTCATCTTTGATGGGATTCTTTTTAAAACATGAATAAAGTATCAATTTACAGAAAAAGAGTTTAAGGAATTATTCTGACCTGGAAATTAAAGTTTTGTCATGTCATCCTGTTGTGCTTATCTGCCTTAAAGTTCTTAGGCTGCTGTTTTGCAGCCATTCTTGACTCTATGGAGCATTAAAATGAGGATATATCAACTGGAAAGGTTAAGACAAGATAGCAGACAAATATTTGGTTCAAAATATGTTTCCCATTAATATCTGTTTATCTCGAACTTAAGACTTCTTAAATCTAAAGTGTA